GTGGCTGGCACCTTAGCCACTTGAGCCACAGGCTCCGAGCCAATTTTTCTATTTTTAATAGAGATGAGGTCTCACTCTTGCTCAGGCTGGCCTGGAACCCTGGCCTCCCAGAGTTCTAGGATTACAGGCATGAGCTACCACACCAGGTCATGATTTTCTCTTCTTCTTCTTCTTCTTTTTTTTTTTTTTTTTGAGACAAGAGCGTTTCACCATGTCACCCTAGGTGACAAAGCATGTGGCTGGTGCCCTAACCACTGAGCTACAGGGACCCAGCCTCCTGAAGTATTTATGGATGAAACGAAGTGAAGTCTGGTATTAGCTTCTAAACAATATTTTCGAGGGGAGGAAATGGGTGAGGGCATAGATGAACGATTTTGGCCATAACGTGATGATTGTTGAGGCTGAGTTGATGGGGACACGGAGATTAATTATACTATTTTATTTTTATGAATGTTAAAAATTTCCATTATATAAAGTTATAGAAAAAAAGGCAGAAAGGAAGAAAGAAATAAAATTGGAGTTTGATCATAATCCATGCATGATGCCTGCTGAACCTACTGGTTCTGTGGGTAAATGCCAAATAGGATGCTAAAGGCTATAATATAGCAACAAAGACTGACATGACCCCCAAACGGAGAACATTTAGAACAAGGGAGTCAAAAATGCTCTGCACAGGAGGAGCATTTGTTTGGAGGCTAGAAAGTTACCTAGGAGTCGCTAGGCCAAAAGTAGGGGGAAACATTCACTGATGGAAGGAATCATCATGTTCTAAGACAAAGAATTGTGAAGGGACAGGGCAGGTTCAGGGCATAGTGGCAGGCCTAGTGTGGCCAGAGTGAAGGGTGTGTGGGGTGCAGAATGGGGAATTAATGGAGGGGTCAGGGTGGGGCGGGCTTTGAAAAGCCTCGTTTACAGTGCTGGGGCATTGACTTGGAATCCTGCATTAGTTAGAAGAGAGCCTGCAGAGACTTTCAAACAAGAGAATGACACGATTTCAATTCTACAAAAAGAGCCCTAGTAGAAAATGTCCCACTGGGCAGGTGAGGCTGGTGTTAGGACACCTCTAGGGAAATTGTCACTGCAATACACGAACATAGGACAGGCGGTAAAGGAGCCATATTGAATCTTATCAAAGCTTTTGGCATTTTTTTTTTTTTTTGAGACAGAGTCTCACTATATCTACCTTGGTAGAGTGCTGTGGCGTCACAGCTCACAGCAACCTCAAACTCTTGGGCTTAAGTGATTCTCTTGCATCAGCCTCCCACATACCTGGAATTACAGGTGTCCACCACAACACCCAGCTATTTTATGTTGTAGTTGCCACTGCTGTTTTAGCTGGCCAGGGCTGGGTTCCAACCTGCCACTCTCGATATGTGGGGCTGGCTCCCTACTCACTGAGACACAGGCACCGCCCTCTTGGCATTTTTTTTTTATCCTGTCTTCCAAATAATTACCCTTTTCCCCTGATGTTCACAAACATTCTAATTACTCCTCACTAGAAAAGTCACCTAACCTCTCAAACCACTAACTACAAAGGCAGAACATAGAAAATCCAGAAGCTTAAAGAAGAAGATTGGGAAGACAATGACTAAACTATCTGTGGGACACCTATGGACCTGGCACTTGCTAATTACCACCGGGGACTAGGTATTTAAGAACCACTCTTTGGGGCAGCCATATATCATTATGTCTTTTGATAAAATGCAAGGAGATACCCCTATCATCTGTGAGGTAGTCTAGCCAAAAATGTTTCATGGGACCAATTAAGCATTCAGATCTAATTTACAGTTCATAGAAAATATAGTTTATCCTTGAACAACATGAAGGTTAAGAGGGTTAACTCTCTATGTAGTTGAAAATTTGTGAATAATTTTTGACTCCCACAAAACTTAACTACTAGTAACCTATTATTGAC